TCACTATTTCTACTGACCATAAACCTCTTTTTTCCTCATTAAGCTCCTCTTTAGACAAGTACTCACCACGTGAGTCTCGACAGCTGGACCACACTTCGCAGTTTACTTCAGACATTCAACGTATTACTGGAGCAGTCAATGTGGTCGCAGACGCTTTGTCTCGAATAAATTCCTTGAACGGTTTTAGGGAGTCGACCTTCTAAAACTCGCTCAACTTCAAAAAGAAGACACAGATCTTCAGAACGAGTTGTCCTCAACAACACTTAAACTGCGAATTGAACAGATGGGAACAGGTAAGGAAACCTTACTGTGTGACACATCTACAGGTAGAGGTCGCCCAATCGTGCCGAAACATAATCGATGCAACGTCTTCAATACGTTGCAAAAACTTTCTCATCCAGGTGTTCGTACAACAATTAGGCTCATAGCAGAACGATTTTGCTGGCCTGGTATGAATAAAGACGTGAGGGAGTGGGCACACTCCTGTGTAAGCTGCTCAAAATCCAAGGTTATTAGACACAACAAATGTCCCTTAGGCTCTTTCAAAACTCCCGACGCTCGTTTCCAGCATGTTCATCTGGGTTTGGTAGGACCTTCACCAGATTCAAATGAATACTCTTATATCTTAACCTGAGTAGACCGTTTTACTCGATGGCCAGAAGCAGTAACCATCAAGGACATTACTGCTGAAACAGTGGCCCAGGCCTTTGTCAAACGATGGGTATCAAACTTCGGCTGCCCAACAACCATCACTACAGATCATGGACGCCAGTTCGAATATAAACTTTTCCGTTGTCTGACCGCAACATTAGGAATCACTCGCTTCCGAACGACAGCCTACCACCCACAAGCAAACGGGTTAGTAGAACGTTTTCACCGACAACTAAAAGCGTCACTATCAGCCTCAAATATTTCTCAGTGGACTGACGCTCTTCCACTCGTCTTACTAGGTATTCGCAATGCAGTGAAAGCTAACATTGGATACAGTGCGGCTCAACTCGATTATGGAACGACCCTTCGACATCCAGGAGAGTTCGTGGATCCTTCATCCTCTTCAATAAACATGGGTCTAACCTCCTACACAAACCTCCTTACAAACGCAATGCGTTCAGTTAAGCCTGTTTCCCCACAACCGCAATCAACTGATGTTTTTGTTCAACCTGACCTACGATAGAGTACACACGTCTTCGTACGCCGAGACTCACATTGACGAAATCTCGAACCCGCATTAGAAGGACCCTTCAAATCGTTCAACGCGAACCTAAGTACTACATAGTCGATAGGAACAGAAGCAACGATAGCATCAACATCGATCGCCTGAAAGCAGTGTATTTAGGAGGAAATCCTATTCACGTCGACTTTCCTTCTGTACAATCCGACAACACGGCTCCTACACTTATATCACCTCATCCAACAGACAACAAGCACGTTGTTACTTCGACAGTATCTGGAAATAAACTTAAAACAACGCGTTCTGGAAGAAGAGTAAGAGTTTAAGAACATTTGAACGATTACTGCACGTAAGATACTAGTTGACATTTTATATCATCTGGATTTTATTTTGTACTATGTTATATTAAAAAATTTTAATATGTTTGTATATTTATATTTTTATTCCAAAAAAAACAAAAACAAAAAACGCCATTTTATAAAGATCATTTTTTACGCTATTACGTGTGCTTGAAGTTATTTTCTTTTCTTTTTCGCCCGCTTCCTGTTTTTACGCGCGCACGAGTGTATTTCGACATGCACTTACATGTTGTTGTTTTTTTCAGAACAGCTAGAAAAGACAGAAAACAAAATTTTCATTGTACTTTCTCTTTTTTATCATGTTGTACTTCATGGTCCCATATAGTAAGGAAAGACGACCAGAGGCTGCTAAACCTAGCAAGATAACAGAATGGTGTTTACCAGCGACAAACTTGTTGGGTTTAAACTTCTGGCTGGTCACGTCTTGGGGTCATCACTACCTCACTAAGGGGGTAGGGATCTGTAACGATAAATAAATCACTAAAATCAATAGCTCTGTAAGTCTTCGTCATTGGATGCTGACATTATTGGTTTTAACGGACTCATCGAGCTGAAGGCGCTCGGTTCTTGAATTGTGATGTCTTATGATGTATTGTGACGAAATTGTGATAATACAGACCTTCCTTCCGTGCCCTTGCACAGTACAAGCGTCAAAATTACCATACCTCACTCAAGAATCAAGAGTCACATCGAAACGTAGGTAGTATCTAACCCTCGGCCTAATACTCTGCGTTCTGGGTTAATAATAGAGTTTCCGTATGACTTAAACCTTTACTGCACGTAAGATACAACGTAACATTTTAATTTATCTTGTTCGTTTATAATATTTTGTTAGAAGAAAGCAAATTCAAACATAAATTTCCATAATATGCTCATATACGTGTGTATGTATTTTTCAAGATCAACAACATTGAACGAAAGCCTCTTGCGCTGTCGCATGTTAAAATCACATGAACAACAGTTTATTTTCCTTTATTACCCCCGTTTTGTGTCCTTGCACTCGTACGAGTTTATTTCAACATGTACTTACGATTCCTTTATATCTTTTCCAGAGTGCCTAGAAAAGATAAAAATACTGACAAAGTTCGTTGAGAATCGAAATTTTTATTGTATTTTATTATTATTATTTACAACTTGGCTCCTTATGTCAGGGGAAATTGACTAGATACGCTCTAGATCAACAACAGTCTCTACTCAACACAAGCTGATCAGACACGTGATGGACCTAAAGAGGACATACAATAGCTTATGCAAATTTGGAATCCAATTAAGGTTGAAAATGCCACAGGTATTCGGAGTTTGACAATGCTCTAACCAGTAACACCTTCTAATATGAACCGTACCCACCAAGCGAATTCAAAAGACAGAAGCGAGGAGGTTTGAAGATATATTTGATCGGCTATCAATATATCGAGGATCGTCTGATCTAATCTGACTAGCGATTGCGTGAGATGTTGAGCATGACGTTCCCACTCGTGATCTGGTCTTTATTTAGATCTTCGCGCAGTCACAGTGGAGCGTGTGGTAACCTGTTCAGACAAACTGCTTTTCAACATTCAATGTTTTGTGCCCCCATAAGAATAATTAATGGTGATTTCGGGGTCCATTTGTGGGTCAGTACTATACGTATATTTTTACCGTATAATTGGCAATTAACTAGACTATTCTTATCGATTAAACGTTTAAATATTTCAGTGGCAGCCGATTGACGAACTTATCAATTAAATGTTTAGAAGCTCCATGACAATATCTATTTATATGTATTTGTATATATACGTTTTTCAATTGTGTTTGTTGAGATCGCTCGTTTTCTGGATGTTGTGGAATATACTTCCGATTTTAATCTTGGACTTCTCCCTGTAGATAGCGGGCTGGGACGCATCCATAGCTAGCTTACTGGTCTTTGGTCACCGAGTCTTGTTCTCGTTCGCAGATTAAGTAAACTTGTGAAGCTTCAAACTTAGCACAATGTAAGATAATAGGAAATATAATGCCTACAAAAAATAATTGAATGAATATTCGAACTCTACTGTTTTCACTTATACTTAGTTGTTTGAGGCCAAGTTTAACCAATCAACCTAAGCTGTTACAAGGTTGTGGTGGTTTCGACATTTGTACTAACTGATGATTCATTTGCACTTTGTTGCATGCTTACTACGATTTCCAAATATAGTATATTCAGTTGAGTTCATTTAGTTTTAGCTGTTTAGTTAGCACACTAGTTCGGATGCTGCTAATTGTAATAATATGATAGATGTTTAGCTGTTGCGTGGAAAGATTTATATTAAATGTCAACATTACACTTTATTTTTCTATTATTGTGTCGGGTTGCACGTGGATGGATCCCAAAAGAAGTTATGTCAAGACAGAATGCACATTCAGTAGTTCTTTGGCGAAGAAGATAATACTTTCTGTTTTAACCCAGTATTGTGTTCTAAAGATGCCAGAAGTATTCAGAGTTTGACGACACCCTTACATGGGAAACCTTTATAATTGAAGTTTGCCAACTCAGCCAACTTAGAAGTCATAAATGAAGGGATTCAAAGTTGTATTTGGAAGGCTATCGGTATTTCGAGGAGCGTTTAGTCTTAACTGGATAACAGCTGCAAAGGATACGTATCACCGCATACCCACTCGTGATCTGCTGAAAATGAGTGATCGACAGCCTTCATATAGGTGTATTTAGTAAAATTAACTAAGTTAACATCAATGTCGAAGACTTAAGGAACTGTTTGTTCTGATCTGGATACTAGATTTACGAGGTATCAGAAAATGCATGTTTCTTAAACGGTATAGTATAGAATATATTGCCAGTGCTCGAATGTGCGTCTTTAATATTATATATTTTGTACACTGGCGAATAAATATTTCGATAAACTTCATCCCAGGACGGATAAGATAAGCATCATTTGGTGTAAGCAAACTAACCCCGTGAAATTTTAACTTCAGTAGATTTGGTTTTAATAACTTCCGGCGATTATGTCGTGTCGTTGAAGCCTCAGTCCACTGAATAACTGTAAAACACATTTTTTATTAAATTTATATGCAAGCTATTACAGATTAGGTCCTGAGTGACTGGAATTAAGATGTTGCTTACTGATAAACATTACGTAAGTCAACACTCACACAACAGAAACGAAAGAGTTTACATTAAAATTTCAGGTCAGAAATTTATGGAACTGTTTGATGGAGCGAAAGCGACAGCGCTTCTCGACGATCGTTTCAGGAAAAAGCTCGGTATTTACTTCAGTTCTGTGGATGTTGTTAGGGATTACTTCAGGTGTTAATTTCCCTTCAATTGCATTAATAATTATGTTGATCTGAATATTCGTCTCCTAGAAGGAACAATCTAAAAGTATCTTACTGATCCGTAACCATAATTACTCTTTTATTGTGAAACACAGATCCCAAAGAACAAGTAGTTCGTTAATTTTACGTAGCGATGTTTGATATTTGAAAGCTTGGACATTGGAAACCAAAGTCCGGTGTGGCGGGACTAGTCGAAATCGCGAGGTTTAAACTTGATAATGGACCAGAGTCTTGATGATATTATTCAACAGAAGCGCATCAGAGTAACTAGAGGTAGAGGTCGTGGACGCGGTCGTGGTGGCGAATCTTTGCGGGGTGTGCGTCGTGGTGGAATTGCGCGACGAAACACAAATGGAATGGTATGCATGTATAGTAATTATTCATTCTTTAGTCACGAGCCTTACCTGACAAATGGCAGCACGATATGTTCCAAGATGGTCGTAGCCCCAAAGGATCTGGTAATACAGGTGGAAATGCAGCGAGGTTGCACATTTCAAACTTGGACTTTGGTGTTAACAATGATGATATAAATGTAGGTATATGAGCCATTAATAATCTTGTAGGAACTTTTTCGGGAGTTTGGTGCAATTCGAAAGGCTACTGTCCATTATGATAGGAGTGGTCGTTCTCTTGGCACCGCAGAAGTCGTTTTCGTGAACCCACTTAGTGCAACAAAAGCCAAAAATCACTACAATGGTGTACCGCTTGATGGACGCCCAATGGTCATTCAGTTGGTCGGTGCAGGTTAGTCAACAAACAGTCAGCCACGTCGACCAGGAAATCACTTCCGTAGCAACTGTTGACTTCGTTACCATTCAGTGATGTTCCACCTTGTTTGGGAAGATAGTGCTTCCAAACTGACGTGCTGCCAGTATATGTTTTTGTTGTTTTCTAATGCTGGAATGTCTAAAACTTGTAATTCATGGTGTTACCAACTATGGAGCAAATCCACTTTTTCTCGGGGATTCTCACCTGCATCATTTTCAAATGGTTGGACATTGGCGAGGAGCATAGTGGAATTCGCCGTTGTCTCGAGGTTCTGGTATTACCATAATCATGGGCAGGGAGGTTTCCTTAGTTTTTCTTTATTTTGTGGGTGTGATTGAGTGTTTTCACTTGGGAACACTTAATGTCTACCATATCATGTGTTCTGCGAAAATATCTGCCAGAATTATAACGAATAATTGAGCTTAAAGTTCTATATTGGCACTAACGAACCTGAACCGCGCATATAATGAACTGAAGTTAAATTTCATTTCGATAATAAAATGGCAACAGTTTTGATGTTGTTAAAGACTCACTAATTGACACGTATTTTATTCCTCAAGCTGTTGAAACTACTGTAACATCACGTCCCCGCGTTACTCGCCCTCGTGGTTCACCGATTCGTCGGGGTTTCGGACGTGGTCGAGGTCGTGCACGTGGTCGCGGAAGAATTCAGAAACCTACAGTTACTAAGGAAGAATTAGACGCACAGTTGGCTGCTTATAATGCTCAGGTAATCCGCAGATCTTTGTTAATATGTTTCTAAGTTTGACTCCCGAGAATGTAAACCTGCTTCAATTATACCCTGATTTGTCTGACTTATTAAGCATCCAGACAAAAGTAGCCGTTTAGTTCTCTGCTTATTTATTTATTTTAACACATCGGTACAAGAAGGCACCAAATACATATGCGCCACACAGATCTCATTGGATATGTGTGAGGGCTGTGATACTGCCCGGGTGCCCAGACCGAAGCAGGTGGTTTTCTTAGGGGGCCAAGTTCTCTACTTAACTTTCTCCAAATCATAAGCGCCTAAACGAGTCCAGGCTGTCCTTAACATGGGTTCAGAAATGCTATTACAGTTCGGCTTGAAATATAAACACTAGTGTGAGTATTCAGTTCGTAAATGATGCTATGCAACTTGATCAGGGTTTTAGGTTGGCCACATACCTAATAATTATGTATCTAGACGTCTATAAAATGTAATTTACTAGTCATATGATTGGTGTCAAGTTTTCCTTTTGTGCTCGTAAAGTTGAAATTCTCTTGTTGGTCAGTGCAATGTGAGACTATGATTTAAGAAGCCCTTCAAGTATATAATGTTATCGATATAATTGTCATTTATCTTGATCCACTGATTGATCTGAGTCATGTTTAAAAGACAGACTGTTTGGTTGGGCCTTAATACTTGTATGCAATGACCGTAGATGTTAACTGACATGAGGCTAGAACCAGTCCTAGTATCGCGGCTGCATTCGTTTTCTGTCCTCTAAATCACCAGTTAAGTATCATCCCTAGATGTCCAGTCCAACTGCTAACCATATTTTCTGTTTACAATGTTACTATGTAAGATTGACTCAAAGTTAAAACACGCTCTTGTTCCTATTTACCTAGGATCCGTTGCATTTTTTGTTTAGCTCTGTTTTCAAATTTTGCTATAATATGGGTTACGTATTAGAGCTATTTTGAAAATTACTCATTTTTTTGCTTTGGTGCAATCTACGTGCTTCAGTTCCACAGTTGCCGACTACAAGAACTAAAACTGCATTTTTAGGATCTTGTGTAACTTCCAGTTTAAATAATCTCAAATGCACGAAAAATCTGCCTTTCCCTTCGCTTCTCTACAATGCTATTTAGTAAAGAATATTAATAACTACTGACTGATAGTGAATTGTAAGCAAATGTACATTGAGTTAAGTTGCCATGCTTCGCAGCTTAGCAATTAAAAGAGAACAAACCAAAGTAGTTAAAAAAAACTCGGTAGTGGAGAATTAAATAGAAAGCTTATCTGGATGTGCATTTACCACCTTATTCAACAAAGCTCGTCTCGATCTGTTTGCTGTTTCTAAACAGTGTTATACAACTTTACCCGGCATTATTTACGCAGCGGTTAAAGTACACATAACTTTAAAGGCATTCTTAATCTATTATAGACAATCTTTATACGTGTTTTTAGGCTGTTTCACAGTACCAAAGTAATAGCAATCTAAATGCTTCCTCGTATACTCGCTCTTTGATTTGACATGCTCCTAAATGCCGAACGAACTTCTATTAGTGTTGCGACTTATTTACTCTTAGATCTTGAGAAGGGTTCCATAATAAGTAGGTTAATAAGCGTAAGTTCTTTCCAACACACAGTTAGCGCTTACACCATTTTTCACTGAAAGGGAATAAAACCCATTTTATTATTCAAAAGTTTGAATTCCATCACAACCAAACAGGAGCCTGTCATTTGTTCACTAATTTGATGAGAGTTTCTGGTTATAAGGCTAATCCCTAAGCAGAGTTATTTCTAGAGACATTATCAAAGGATCACTAGAATTTACCTATCAAAACCTAATACTTTTTCGCCTCAAAACTACAGTACTTTTTTAAGAGTTGTCAATTTCAGTCAGGTTGTCGGTGGATCATAAGATCATAATGAGTAGCTGCAGCTTAGTTAAACTGTTCCGCATGATATTGCGCACATTTTTCTAGTCGACCAATCTTTGAGTTAGTCTGTGCCCCCTTTTTTAGCAATAGTTTTGTTAATAGCCAACTCTCTTTCACTTTGGCAAGTTTAAAGACTTGTGTACTAATGCCTAACTTTTCTACCTTTTCAATTTTTAGAGCCAAGTCGCCCCCGCTCATAATTGTCCTTAAGGCTGGGCAAAATAACTTGACTCAGTAGACTCTAGCATCTCTCAGTCTTTTGGTTAAATTTACTGTAACAGTTCTTAGTGTCTTTTTGTGCGAATGAAGAGAAGTGGTCTCAAATATTATTGGAATAGTTTTGAATTTCTTGCAAACATTAGTACATCTGAACCTTGTTATCATAGGACAAACACTTCTGTTTTCTTGTTAATAAGGTAGGTAAGTTTGTCTGTTTAGTACAGCTATTTCTTTTAATTAATAGCATTAACAATAGAATGTCATTACTGTCTGACGCACACATCACGTACATATCTATCTAGTTCATTTTTCGAAGAACTGATGGTTCATTATCAGCTTGTTAGTAGTTTCTCTCGTGCATTGACCTCCAGTGCTTATTCATACTAAACTGTATCTTTATTTCGTTCTATTTTCAGCGTGCTTGATCTGTTCTCACAACCTCTTTTTTTGGAGTAGACTCGACACAATCTGTCAACTCCAAATCTCTTGTCCCTATTTAATGTATGTCTTCTGAGTCCATATGAAAAATAAAACAATTTATTATATAAAAGTTTCATTTTTAGTATTTTATATTATCACTACCGGTAGGACAACAAAAAGAGGAACAATAGTTTTTCTTTAGATACTCAAAATTCTTTGGAACAAAAAGTATTAGTTAGGTGTTTGCTATTGTTGTGGTGTGACATATTTCATTTCAAGAAAAGATGCACTACAACTATGTTACGAACATCATTATGTGATTTTTGTGGATTGCACTGTTCGACCTTTAGAAGTAATTATGACAACAGCTGTCTCGTGCGATCGTTTCATAGGTGTGGTGTGATTGCTCATATTCAGTTGACACTGAGATTCTTCTGATGTACTACTGTCAGGCGATAAAGTTGCATCGGGCAACTGATTGTCTTGTAAATTTCTAAATCCATTTGGATCTAATTAAAATATAAGATTCAATAATTAGGTATGGGTAAAAGGTATATCGAAATAAAATGACTAACATATATTTATCATAATAGACAGTGAGAAACAGTATCACAAGTTTCACCTGAAACCAACATTGTTTCAGTGTGGAGTCTTTTATTTCCAAGGACTGTTCTAGATACGAACTTGATGATATGCGGACAAGCTGAACATGTGTGCCGGGTTCTTTATTGCGTATGACTCGTTTATTCCGGTTGTTTTTCAAGATAATACGGAAAAAAGAACAGTGTACTTATTTTTAAGCAGAAGTTCGAAAGCCTATCGACAAATGTGAACCTTAGAGGTTTGTTACTTGGTATATAGTGTAGGAGGGGGGATCCATTTGAAATGTAGCTGGCTGTTTAATGTATTGGTAGGTATCTAGAGCTTACATTGTAGAACAAAGCATTTTGCTATTAGTCTTTTTTTAAACTACAGATCTGTAAATAGGTGAGGTTTCTCATAATTGTTTACGAGATCAAGAACTGTACTTGAATGGTCCTTCCATTTTCTACGTTTATGAATAATCATGTAAAATCTCCTATCCTGAGTTGACAGCATTTAAAGTAATGTCGGAAGTTCCACTCATATAAGTCTTATACTTGTGCAATACTTACATATAGTTTTATTTCTATACACAAATATTATACTGCTCTGAACTTACCTTCAACCCGTTCAACACTAGAATTATCCACCTCTGAAGACTGTTCAGTATTTTCATTTGTCTGCTCATCTAGTTCATCATCGTCTTCTTCGTCATCCTCCCCCACTTCATCATCATCATGATAGCATAAATACTCATTTCTATAACTCATATCATTCCATGATGCATTTTTTCGCACGATGCTACCACCAGTACTATCATCTCTAATTTTTACATCTGATAAAGTTTCATCAATTACTGAATAACTAGATGGGAAATGATATTTACTATTACTAATCAATTTACAATTACATTGAAAAATGTCACTGGAACTTTCAAATAAATGTAGATTTTCAACAATTGGTTTGCAAATAGTATTATTAATATTAGTAGTGCTTTTGATAAGATTATGCGTTATCGGTGAACTACTAGCATCATTATTATGCAGTAATTCCTGGGAAATTGAATTTCGATCAATATTAGCCGAGTTTGGTTCGTAATATTTCATTCGTTTTGCTGGTTTTCTTATTGTTTTCATTGGATCCATAGGTCGGTCTATTCCTCTTGGTAGTGTTCTAGATTTGAATTTCGAATTCTGATGAGGTAAATCATTCCCATCACTAGTTGTTTCACTTTCATCATCGTTTTGCGAAATACAACAAGACGACGACTCATCACCACCACGGGAATTTTGTTTCTGTTTATTCCATTGCTTCTGATTTGGCATTATTATCCAATTAGATGATGATGATGACGATGGTAATGCTGTTGATGGAGGTGCTACTTGTGGGTGGTATAGTTTTGTATGATATCGTTGTACACTACTCATAATGTTATTAGTAGTTGATGTAACAGGTGTTACTGATACTGTTGTTATTGTCGGCTTCATCATCGTCATGTTAGTTAATGATGGTAGGACATGTTTAATCTCTTTTTTAGATAATTTATAGTGATGAGGATAGTTTTCATTCTCCATGTCTATCAGTTCACCGTTTGTAAATTGACTTAATTTATTTAAAGTGAATAATTCCCGTGGAGTTGATTGAGGTTGTTGTATATATTGCGAAAAATCTTTTTGGGGTATACCAATTCGTTGGTGTAATGGGATGTTGCGTAGTTGTGATTGTTCTTGAAACTTGAAAATATTAAAAGCGGAGAAGCATTTACTATTCAGCTAACTGTAAACAGTCTGTCCAGCAAAATATGTGAACTGAACTACCAAAGTTGTTAGTACTGGACTTATGGGATTATACTTAAATACCCAGCTTGAATTAGTAACCTGTCGTGTGTGTGTTAGTTTAGTACTAATGACTAACTAGCCGTTACATCAGGACAATCCACTTGAAGATTCATCAATGTAAGAATCTTGTTCATACTTCTGTCACTAAGCTAGATCGTTCTCTATTAATTCACCATTTTAGCCCTTTGCAGTTCTATTTTGTTACTGAAACGTAAAATAGCCACTTAAAAAAGGCGCCGGGTTAATGGAGATAGTGGAATGATATGGTTACTAAAAAAGAGTTTACTAGACACTTTATTTTTGAGAGTCCTCTTACAAATGATGCCATTTAAAGTTTTCAGGTAACGTTTAAGCGTTATAACCCTGACAGTCAATAATTGTAGTAGATTAACTCCGAGATAATGCCTTAGGCTTTGTACATCAATCACACTAATAACCGTTATTAAATAAGTCCTAACGGTGTATAAATTCAGAAAGCAATACAAACTTTTAACTACGGTATTTTGTCGAATAGCACAGATCGATAAGCCTCGAGTGGAAAATCCAATGCGCGAGCCAACGAATTAAGAGTCGAGTCAATTAATAAGATTCAAGCATATCATATATATGGGAAGTGATGTGAAACGGAGATGGTCGTTAAACTAATGGGGAACGAAGCGAGGCGGAGGTGGTGAGTGATCCAACTCTTGATAAAGTCAGGTTCGATATTTATAATCAGACAAAAATAAGTTGCAGACGTGTGATGAGTAGGGTAAACAATACACACGCATACACTCACAAATAAAAGTAGTAAAATTTAGTGAGTGGATAATTGATAAACAAATTGGTCTGTCCGAAAGCTCAAATAATCCATGTGGGCTTGATATAATACTAGGTTCCACATACTAAATTTGTCATTAAACTGATTCAATCAAACTATGCAAATAAATTAGTACATAGAATTAGGAAGATATTTATTAATAAGCCCTCAATTTGAACATTTCTGTCATCATGAAACAACTGATTTGTAAAGATACTCAAAGTCCCAAGTCTGTTCAAAATCAATGAGGAATTATTTTTAACTTTTATAAATGGTGAGACTATAATTTATGGACGACCTTTGAGCTAAGCTAGACTGACCTTGACAGTGTCCATCTAATATCTATGACCAAATGAGGGTTCTAGACCTGTGTGAGGAATTAGGATTATGTTTTACAGTTGATAATTAACGTTAGGAATTGAATTTCGGGTTTTTATCATGAACTATAATGCCAAAACTCTATATACCCTAATTGGATGAGTAAATTTTGCGCCAATATCTGAGGCCTATTATCGTATACCTTATTGGTTCATCCATAAATTATAGTCTCACCTTACAAATCATTTGCTTAAACTAATATTTAAGAAAATATAATAAAATCCACTGTACAATCACTATACCTTTGATAATATTATTTCATATAAAACTTAAACTCACTGTAAAGTTATTTTCATGTTTTGCTCGTTTCGGTGCAATACCTTTAAAATGTTTACGTTTATGTTCACGTTTCCATTGTTGTTGTTGTTGTTGTTGTTGTTGGTGTTCAGTATTCAATATAGAGAATATATTTATATCTGAAGTCAGTTGTTGTTGTTGTTCAAAACTATGTCGTGGTTGATAATAAGTTTTTAAATCATTTTTATCATGTAAATTAAATTCTAATAATTCAGTTGGTAATGTTTTTTGTTTTAATGAGGTACATGAAACATAGGGTGTAAATGCTGATCTGTTTGTTTTAATAGGTCGAACTGAAAAACTTCGTCTTAGATAATCTGATATAAAGTAAATATGAGGTAGAAAAAGAAAGAGTTATAAAACATTGAATAATTGGCGAGACTATAATTTATGGACGAACCAATCAGATATAAGATAACAGGTTTCGGATTTATGACGCGAAATTCACTCGAACCATCAACTGTAAATCATAACTCCAAATTCTCACATTGGTTTATAACCCTCATTTTGTCCTAGTTATTAGGTGTACACTTTCAAGGTCACTTAATCATCTCTCAATGATCGTCCATAAATTATAGTCTCATCGATAAATTTCTCATTATTTCGATTTATAAAGGACTAATTAACAATGGAAGTTGGGAAATAATAACAATTATATTAATGCAAAGATTTTAGGAGAGTTGGAAGATCTTCCAGGTGTATTCTTTACTTGAGAAGGCTAGAAAGTCAGATGTTTGAAATCAGTCCATTATGTAATGTTAAATTCCTTTTCATAAATTCATTATCAATATTTCTTCTGAATAAAGAAGGAACATATGGATACACAATGAAATTTATCGATATACACATGAAGGAGATGAAAAGAAGGACAAGGGCACCAACTGTTCCGAAGAAAGTACTGTCCTTAAAATTACAATTCCTAAATGATCCTATTGGAGAAATTGTGACACAAAGGTTAAGAAATGCGGTACAGAAAACATTTAATGCAACCAGACTGAGTGCCGTCTTCTACAACCATCCCATAATAAGAACGGTTAATAAAGACAGATTTCCTGAATTCGCCACATCCATGTGTATTTATCAATTCAACTGCTCCCGTGGAGCCAGTTATCTAGGACGTACAATCCGGCAAGTCCGTCATCGCATAACAGAACATTCGTCTTAGTTGAACAAAGGACAGGTAAGAATGGTTAAGCGTTCTATTCTCTCTCACTTAGTGGACATAGGTCATCAAGTTAAATG